CACTGACTGTATATAAAGACCATCACTGACTGTATATAAAGACACTGACTGTATATAAAGACTTTATATGAAGACTGTGTGTGTCAGCTCCGTCTGGTCAGGCCTTTGAAATCATGAAAGAACTTGGAACGAACGTCCAGCTCCTCCCGAACCACACCACCCCCCAGAAGAGCGACACCTACTTCAACCGCAAGATGAAGGCCAACAGGTGAGCTGAGTGACAGGTTTAACTTCCACAGAGGAGCTGGAGAATTCTCTTTTCCTCGCCACTGTCTGTGAGCAGGTTTTACTTAATGGCCGGATCCTCGTTATCCTGACGTCGTGTGTCTGTGCGTGTTTCAGGCAGCTGGTGTTCTGTTCGCTGGCCGTTCTGGCTGAGGAGAGAAACCCGCTGGAGTGTCTGGATGCTTTCGGAGCCACAGGTGAGACGGTCTTTATAAAAACACTGGAAGACTTTGTTTGTAAGAACATGTCACTATTCTGCCAAGAAAATAATGTACAACATCAAGCATTATACTCGGGGGGGGGGGGCAGAACCTCCAGAACATTCAGGAGCTGGTGCAGACTTCAGGTCTGGAAACAGCTGAGAGGGGGAGGGGCGTTGAGAACAGCTGATCAAGTCACAACAACAACGTTTGGCCTCTTCACTTTTATTTGTTATGATCAGAACCTTCGTCTCTCAAAGTCCCTGAAGATTCATTTGGCAGTGAACCAGATTTCATGATCTGTTTTGTCGTTTGTTAGCTTCAAGACCTTTAGTTCGACTTGACTTGGCGAAGGTGTACGCCCACTAACGTTCAGCGTGACCTCATCTGCTGTGAAGGAGGTCGATGTTTAAACTCCGTCTCGTGTCTGTTGCCTCTTCCCCGTCCGCCCCTCAGGGATCATGGGCCTCCAGTGGGCGAAACACCTCCGTCACGCCGTCAAAGTGACCATAACGGACATCAGCGACACCTGCGTCAAAATGATAAAAGAGAACTGCGAGCTGAACCACATCCGAGTGGACGGAGGGTCGCGAGGTCCCCGGGGGCCCGACGGGAACGGCAGCGAGGTCGAGGGGACGCCCATCGCTACGGTGGAGGTCGTCAAGATGGATGCTAACGTCATCATGCACCTTCGGTCCTTCGACTACATGTGAGTGAGGAGAGATAATCCAATAAAACTCATGAATTCAAAAGTGAAGAAATAATAAATCATCTGAGTTTGTTAATTAAAATTGATTAATTGACAGAAGGAACTGATTGATTCTCCTCGTTAATGTTTCACGTCAGAGTTTGAATTCTGCTTCATAAAATTAACTTTTCATTAATGTGCTCAGTCACTTGGATCCGTTCGGGACGGCCGTGAACTACCTGGACGCCGCCTTCAGAAACGTCCGTAACCTGGGCATCATCTCGGTGACGTCCACAGACACCGGCTCGCTGTACGCCAAGGCTCCCAACGTCACCCTGCGTCACTACAGCAGCCACATCGTACGCACCGAGTACTACAAGGAGCTGGCCGCACGCATCGTGGTCGCCACGGTGGCCAGGTAAGACTTCCCCCTCACGTCCTGATACAGACTGAAGACGACAGTCAGAACTCAGTCCTGGTTCCTGTGCGCAGGGCGGCGGCTCGCTGTAACAAAGGCATCGAGGTGCTGCTGGCGGTGGCGCTGGAGCACTTCGTCCTGGTGGTGGTGAGGGTCCTCAGGGGCCCGATGCAGGCTGACGAGTCCGCTAAAAAGTTACGGAAGCTGGTTCATTGTCAGTGGTGCGAGGAGAGAGTCTTCCTAAAACTGGGGAACATGGTGGACGGTGAGTACACGCTGAGTGTGAAGCTTGTGAGGGTGAAGTACAAGGTTTCTCTGGACTGGCGCCACCCAGTGGTCGGAGGTGCTGTGTTTTCAGGATCGTGTCTCGAACACGATATCTCAAGAACACCTCGAGGGAATTTCTTCAAACCTGGGTCAAAGGTCAAAGATCCCAGTGGCCTCGGAACATTTTGTTGCCGTCTTCAACATGATGTCTCACGTCTGCAGCTGATCGACAATTTACAAACTCTCTCAGCTGTTGTTGTTTAAGTTGTTTTCCTGCAGCGCAACAAAAACCACCAGAACTAAATCCTGTCCTCCTCCAGAAACGCTGCCCTGCAACTGTCATGGAAGTCTGCCGGGGAAGACAGCAGTGCACCTGGGACCGCTATGGTACACAACTTCAACACACACAGACCCACAACATCCACACACACAGACACACAACTTCAACACACAGACACACAACCTCAACACAACCTGTGTGTGTGTGTGTGTAGGTCTGGACCTCTGTTTAACACAGGCTTCTTGAGGAGGATGCTGTCGGCGGCGGTGCAGCACAGTATGGACGACATTCAGGCGCTCGTCAAAACTCTGATCTGCGAGTCTGACTGCACGTCCCTCAAGTCTTTAATGCACGGACCGTCCGCCTTCATCAACCAGGGTAGAACTGTGTGTGTGTTTGTGTGTGTGTTTGTGTGTGTGTATCTGTTTGTGTGTCTGTGTGTGATCTCAGTGCGCTGCAGCACGTGTTTACAGGATGTTGTGTTTCCTCTGCAGTGGAGTGTGGAGTCGTTATCAAGACGTTACACAGCGGAGAAGAGTCAGGTCCTGATCAGTCTGGTGAGTGTCTCCACATGAAGCGACTTCACGTCAGCACCGTCCCTCAGCGTCTCCGTCCTTTCACACCTGATATTTCTAAACTGAGACTAAACTGAAAAGTCTGAAAGTCTGAACCAAACAACGTTTGCTCTACTTGTGGAGTTCAGATCAGAATGGAACTTTCTCCAACTTCTCAAAACACATGTTAGAATTGTCATCAACCCCCCACTCACTCACTCACTCACTCACTCACTCACTCACTCACTCACTCAGTGAATCCAGTGGAGGATCCTCGGCTGTGTTCACACTGGATTTATACAGGAGCTCAGGAGGAGAAAGAGAAACTGAGTCTCACACATGATCCTCCAGAGAAAATACGGAGGATCTGTGGAGTCCTCATGTCTGAAAGCAGCTGACGTCCGGCTGCAGAGTTTATTCACCTGTAGCTCTACCTCTGTCCTCTAGAGGGCAGTGTGGCCCAGCCCTCAGCAGACGATGCTCCGCAGGTGAAACTTAAGTTCAATTTCATGTTTAATTCAATTTGAAATCAGAGCAAAGTCTCAGAACAGTTTGCAGAGTAAAGTCAAACCATCTCAGTAATGTACAGAGACACGGCTCTACAGTTTCACTTCCTTCTATTCACTGAAGAAGACGGAGTTTCACGTCTGCTCACAGGGAGCAGAAATATCACAGATTCAACCTGACACAATAAGATCAAAACAAATGAGTTTGAACAGAGTGAGTCAGTAACGATGGAGACCCTGAGTTTCACAGAGACTCTTATTTGTCTGCAGGGAAGAGGAAGAGCGGAGAGGAGTCGGGGAACATGGTGAAGAAGCTGAAGTCCGATGTGTCTCTGGAACACCCCCCGTTCTACTACAGCATCCACCGCCACAGCATCCGGGGCATGAACATGCCCAAGTAAGTGACCGCTGACGTCCCACGTCGTCCCACTGCCTCAAACACTCACTGCAGCACCACATGTGGACTCATCCGCTGCTGAAAATAGTCCCTGACACTTGCGTTCATTTTAAGATTTCACAAGATGAACCTGTCAAAGCTGAAGGTGAAATGTAAAAACACTTTTCTGTCCGTTTACAACATCTTGACTCAGGAGCAGAAGAGAGACTGTTTCCATGTTTCCTGTAACTTGATGGAGGCAAACAGCCACGAGGTGGAGATTCTCTTGAGTGACGTGTTTTATTCAAACCTGTTCCAGGTTTTACCCTCTGTCTCTGTGGCAACTGTTCATTTCTCTCTTCACAATAAGTCTTCAGTAGGAACCAATGGAGTCGGAGCTGAGAGGGAGTGATAAGGGACGGACAAACTGTTGTTGGATTTAGAGACAATAAGACAAATATATAATGACAGGAGAATTATCCTAAAGCGTGTTCCAGTAATAAATTCTGAAACCGAACATCAAACCTCTGAGTCACGTTGAGATTTTCATGTTTTTGACGACAGGCTGAACAAGTTCCTTCTGTACCTGATGGAGGCCGGCTTCAGGGTGAGTCGGACTCACTTCGACCCAACGGGGATTCGAACTGACGCCACGCTGGAGCAGTTCAAATCTGTCCTCACCAAGTACAGCGTGCCTACGTACACCAACGCCACTCAGACGAGTGTGAGCACAGAGAAAACGGCGTGAGAGTCCATCTCTGCAACCAAAGTTCTGACTGCACTGACTCAAGACGACTTCCTCCTTACGTGTGATTTCTTTGGCAAAGTAGAAACTTTTTCTTCTATTTATTTCACATTTCTCTGATGGTACAAGTTTGATTGATTGATCGATTTATTGTGTTTTTATTTCATTTGCCTTTAAACAATAAAAATATTTGTTCATAGATGAATATCTGATTTTTCTGTTGGTGAAGTTGTAAATCTTTATTCAGCAAATTCTCTTTTGTCTGATACAAAAGCAATGTTGATGGCAATGTTTTCTCTCCTCGTGGGGATGATGCTGCTCTCAGTTAGTGGACGGGACTGTAACACACCAGAGGAAGTGAAATGATTTAGTTAAAGATTAATAATGCTTAAAAAATCCCTCATCAATCTGAGCTCAGTATAAATGAAAACAATTAAATATCAATCAAAAGAATGAAATATCAGTCAAATAACAAAAACAGACAAGTTACATTAATCATCACAAATAAATGAAATGTGATAAATAATAACAGAACAATAACTTCAAGAAAAGAATTCTGGAAAGTAAAACAGCGTGTTGTTGGTAATGTCTCCTTTTACAAATGATATTCGATCACAACATTATAAAAGCTCGGGCAGAACTTGACTTTATGAATGTGAAATGTACAGATTATAATTATAAGGTTAATCATGTGAGTCAGAGGCTTTTAATCACATTTGAATTTAGAGATGACGTCTTCAGGCAGAGTTATTATACACAGAATGTGAGCAGATCATGCAAATACATTTACAATAACTATAGTACAATAACTAAGTCAAACTGTTGTGTTTTTTATTTGTATTATATTATTATGTTTGTCTTGATGGCGTCACTTCATGTATATTATCTCAAGACACTTTTCACAATGAATATTATAAAGAAACAGGATTTTCCTCTCACATACATGATCTGGAGGCTCTTTACATCATTAATCCTCGACATGCTGATAATAGAACTTGATTTCTGTAGCTTGTAATTAAACCTGCTTCAGGAAACACGTGGAAAACAAAGGAATCAAGGGATAAAGATGAAAGGTATCGAACTCGGTTCAGATTTTAATTGGAGAAAGTGCCTCGTCCGGTTTGGTGGAGAGGAGGGAGAGAAGCAGAGCATGATGGGAGTTTTATCAATGAGCAGGGAGGAGGATGAAGGCGTGTCCCTCCTCCTCCTCCTCCTCCGATGAGCCGGGGCTTGTACCTGAGCACTGACCCGACCTGAGGCTCCTCTCCCGGCTGCAGCACCATGGGGATCTCCGCCTCCAGTCTGCTGGACGACCACAGGTCCACCTTCATCACAGGTAACACGCGACTCTTCATCACTAACGCGCTCTGACGCAGCGAGGACGAACTCTTCATCATCTTCTTCTTCATCGGAGAACTTCCTGCTCCGCTGCCCGGGCATCGATCGGTGATCGGTGGGACTCGGTGGATCGATCGGAGCAGCCGGAGGACTCGTGTCCTGGTTTCTCGGGACCAGGTGTCTCTTACATTTCCGCGTTCGTTCCCTGTGGTTCTTCACACCCGGTCCTCTCGCGTCGGTCTCCCTCCGCGGGGAGAAGCTGGGGAACTTGTTCCAGACAAACCTGTCGGACTGGTTCTCTGGTGTCTGTCCACTGGGAAAACACGAGACATGTCCTGCTGGAGTTAGTCTGTGTGAGCAGGTCCCTCCAGCCTGTCCTGCCCTGCAGGGGAC